ATCTTTTATATCATCATCATACATGCAAATTCAGCAAGAAACAGAAACAGAGGAGGCCTTGCTGCCTCTCCAGCCCGTACGATAACAAGGCTTTTAGAGTAGACTAAGGCCTGTTGTCAATCCTCTTATATTGTGCCTCACTGAAAATGGATTAGTGAGTAACACCTACGTTTTGGCCCCGGGTCACTTTGGAAGGATTTGAATGAATGGGCCTGTAGCTGACACTGGCCTCCTATATTTATAATACATCAAATGCGCTTCACATTTTTTTTTCTCTATTATCTATTTAACATAACTCCCTTTATAGGAGCGGCAATCGACCGGTTTGCCTTTTTAACTCGATCTGGAAAAATGTGATATATTTTGTTTTCCAAAGACGCATATGAAAGAAAAGAAGCCCGAGGAGCAGAGGTGTGTGTGTGTTTTTTTTTTCTTCTTCCCTCCTTCCTCAGATATGCTGCCTGTGAACAGAGGTGTTTGTGGAAACGCACAGGAGCCTGCAGAGGCGCTGACTGCGGGACATAAGTAGCTCTCCAGGGTCCTGAAGTTGTCTCCAAACGCGACAGACGCCAGCGCCCGAGATCTGCCTGTCACCTTCAGCCCACAATGACTTGGCCGTGTCTAACACATGGGCACCTGGGTGAATAAGTAAGGGGTTTTGGGGATGCTTAGGTGACGGTTTGTGTGGATACAGAAAAAATCAGATCCGAGAGGACACCTGTGAGACGTCTCTCATCGGACCCTGAAGCTGCCCTGATGAAATCAAATAAACTGTAAGTGGTTTTGTTCTTCTAAATTCAGCTATTTCTGACTCATAATGGCTTTTATTTTTTTTAAAACAAGAAATGACCAAGACTTTTATCTTGTTTGCAGGCGGTCTAATTGATAATATTAGTGAACACAACGATTCACTACCTTGGACACCCTGGAAGGACAATGCAACATATTCCTCCAAATTTCAGAGGGGCGCTATGGGAGTCCAACAATCCATGCATGCCCATAATTAAAAGCAGATCAACTTTACCGACGCTGCCCTTTTATAACTTTCTGTTATGGGTCCTCCTCGGAGTGTTGACGTTCCCTTGTTGTGTCCGCTGTCTGATATTCAAAGTGGGGGTCCTGGGACCTTGGAACTGCGACCCTATTTACTACAGGGCCCTGCCGGCTGCGGCCGCAAGACTCGCTGTAAGCAGAATAAACGGAGACCTAAATCTGGACCTGGGCCTGCAAATGGACTTTATCATCCTCCAGGAGCCTTGTGAGACCTCCAAAGCCCTCAATGCGTTTATTTACTATGAGAATATGGCGGATGCGTTTGTGGGTCCCATCAACCCGGGATACTGTGTTGGAGCCTCTCTGCTGGCCAAGAATTGGGATAAGGCCGTCTTCTCTTACGGCTGTGTTAACTTTGAGCTGAACCGAGTCATAGGATACCCGACCTTTGCCAGGACACTGCCGTTTCCCATTGAGGTGTTGTTCACCGTGTTGAAACACTTTAGGTGGGCCAGCGTTGTGGTGGTCTCATCCAATGAGGATATTTGGAGGGACACTGCTGGAAGGGTCGCTACTTCTCTGAGGAGTAGGGGGCTTCCCGTTGGCCTGGTTACATCTATTGGTTTAAATGAGACAGAGGTGGAGAGCACGTTGAGGAACATCCAGGCTGCAGGGGAGGTCAGGGGTGAGTCTGTGCTGAAATGAATACAGTAGCTACATTATATTGATGCAATGTCCCTGCAAGGTTATTATATGTATGTTGAACTAATACCAGAGGAGACAGTCACAATAAGATCATCATACATCTACCATTAATATAGTGAATTTATAGAAATAAATCACCCCACAATTATAATATAGAAACATAGGGAGCAGATATTACATCACAGATAAACACATCCTCTTTAGTAGGCTTATCACTCCACCACCTGACCAGGAAGCCATTTTGACACTGCAGATTTCACCTTGCCCTTATGGTGAACTGGGAGCTTTCCAACAGTAATAATTTATACTTTTGGGATTTTTTTTTGCCTTTACTAGATCATAGAGACCGGATCGGAAAGAGTAGAGAATAGTCCCTGCCTGGATTCAATTATTACAGTGGTTACATGGTCAGTTAAATGGTCAGCACCTTAACCCCCCAGGGCACCCCAACTTCTAATTTTTATAGTACTTTTTACCCTGTCCAAGAGTTGAAGTGTTGTAACTAAGTGCATTTACTCCTGCTACTCAATTAAGTAGGTTTGTTGTAAACTTTCAGAGCACAACACACTTGACAGGTCCATTAGAGTACTCTTTCTGAAACTGCACTCATCCCTTACTGGCACATTAAATCATTGTGATGCTGATTTTAGTCATGTTATCACTCTGCATACGTCCATCAAACAAATAATTTAGCATGTGTTGTTTATTTCTTGTCTGTTTCAGTCATTATCATGTGCATGCACTCGATCCTGGTCGGAGGGGAGCAGCAGGCTACTTTTCTCCTCAAGGCACGGGAAATGGGCCTGACTAAAGGGAAGTATGTGTTTGTGCCCTATGACACCCTCCACTACAGCGTGCCGTACACCAACGTCTCCTACTTCCCCCTGCAAAACAACAGCAGGCTGAGGGAGGCCTATGATGCTGTGCTCACCATCACAGTGGCCTCTGAGCCTTTGTCCTTCAATGAGGCGTTCAGCGCTGCCAAGAGGAGTAAGGAAGTGACGCTGGCTGTGCATCCAGAGCAGGTAGGAAATTGAAGGAGAGGTTCAAATTTTTTAAGCCTAAAAACTTACTTGTCCATATGTACATTGAAGTGATCCCTTCCTAGCACAATGCCAGTGCAAGAGATGGGGAACAAAATCCACAGTCCTCAATGCATGCAAAAATAAATCCAAAACGTATATGAGTCAGTGTGAGTTTGACAAATTAAGCTGGTATCTCCCAAAACCTTTTTTATGAATAAAATTCTGTTTCTATCCCTCCACCACCCACAGCTAAAAGAAAGTAAAAGTTAATTCACATTTTACAAAAGACTGCTCAAAATGTGTGTATTTTGTAATGTCTATCACTATTATTTACAAAAAGTGTCTGGGTTTGAGGTTGCTATTCCCCACCCCATATACCCAACATAATCTTTTCACAGATACTTCCAATTCCAACTCTTAGCATACTAAAAACACACTCTATGTCAGCTCCACAAAAATTTGATTTGTTGCTCAGCATTTCTGAGAAAATTATTTCAAATAGTTGAAATATTCTACTAATACATTGTGTGTTTTCTTGTGCCCCTTGCAGGTTAACCCACTATTTGGGACCATCTATAACAGCATCTACCTGCTGGCCAACTCCATCCACAATGCCAGAAGAGCAGGCATGGGGCTGTCAGGCTCAAACCTCGCCTATTTCACAAAGAACACAACCTTCAGCGGCTTCAACCAGAAGGTCCAGGTGGACA